CCTACCCTGTTATCATGGTAGGCCTTGGCTGCTTGCTGGTACTCTATCATTTTAGCCTCAGCGACCATCCGCCTTTCCTCCAACAAGTTCAACTCTGCCAAATGGTCCTCCTCATTCCCTTTCTCCTCATAGATCTTTTCCCGGAAGGTCATTATCTTTGCTTCAATGGGTAGTCTGGCCTCACATCCATAAGTAAGGACGAAAGGTGTCTCCCCGGTGGCCCTTCTCGAAGTGACTCGGTAAGCCCAGATGATATGTGGCAACTCCTCTAGCCAATTTGTTCCTGCCTCACCCAACCGCTTTTTGATCCCATCGACTATTATGCGGTTCGCATTCTCCACCTGGCCATTCCCTTGCGGGTAGGCAACGGAAGCCTTGTTGTGAGTAATCCCGAAGTCCTCCAAGTATTTGGTGAACCCTGGATTCCGAAATTGAGGCCCGTTATCCGTCACGATATTTCGGGGTGACCCGAACCGAGTGATGATGTTCTTCCAGACAAAGCGCTGGCACTGCTTGGTTGTGATGGTTGCATATGCCTCGGCCTCCACCCATTTTGTGAAGTAGTCGATAGCTACCATGACATACTTCCTTCTTCCTTGAGCTTGAGGGAAGGCCCCAATGATGTCCATCCCAAACCTTGCGAATGGAATAACATTGGAAACTGGGTGGTAGTATGTTGCAGGCCTTCCCGGAAACTTGTAGAATACCTGGCAAATCTTGCACCTTTGCACATACTTCTCACAATCTTGGTTCATTGTAGGCCAGAAATAACCTAGAAAAATGATCCTTTGTGCGAGTGTCCTGGACATTTGATGGGCTGCACAGACACCCTCATGAACTTCGGCGATCACTCTTTCCGCCTCCGCCCTGGTCAAGCATCTCAGCAGCGGACCGCCAAATGCCCTTTTGTATAGCCTTCCATCAAGCATTTGGAATCTTGGGGCCCTCAACTTTACTTTTCTTACCCTATCCTCATCCTCAGGGAATTGCCCGGTCATATAGTACCTGACCAAGTCATCCATCCAAATATCATCTGGCTCCACTCGATCTGGATTGGGCTGTCCATCTTCCTCTATCATGCTAACAGAAAACCCTTCTATGCTGGCTTTCTCCAGCGTCTCAATCCTGGCCAGCATGGACACATGCTCCGGGGCTGCTTGCGTCAATTTTGATAGCAAGTTAGCATCGGTGTTTTCCCCCCTAGGGATTTGCTCCATCACATACTCAGTCAGATCCTTCAATAATGCCCTTGCCAAGTCTCTGTACTTCTGCATCTTCTCTCCTTTGGCCTTCATGTTGCCATTGATGTGGCCTACCACCAAGCTTGAGTCAGATTTGATCCTGAGGCATGTGATTTGTAGGGTTTTGGCCAATCTCAGACCCCCTATCAATGCCTCATACTCAGCCTCGTTGTTTGTGAGCTTGAAATTGAAGACCAAGGCATGATATACCTTGAGCCCTTCCGGAGTTGTGAATACTACACCTCCCCCATAACCTTTCGGTCCAGAGGCTCCATCTACCGACATGGACCACCAAGGCTCTGTGATAGCCCTAGCCGGTTCTTCTTCCTGGTGACCCGCCATCTCCACAAGAAAATCAGCCACGGCCTGTCCTTTTATCGCTGTCCTCGGGCGATATTCGATGTTGAATTGAGTCAACATCATGGCCCATTTGATCATTCTTCCTGATGAGGTGGAGTCCCTCATGACCGTACCCAATGGTAGGTCAGTCAACACGATAATAGGATGGGCCTGAAAGTAGGAGGTGAGTTTCTTCGCCGTTATGAATAGTGCATACCCTGCCTTCTCCGTGGGAGTATACCTACTTTCTGCCCCATTTAAGGCCTTGCTTACATAATAAATGGGCCTCTGGACCCCATCATCCCTCATCAAGACCGAGCTAACGGCCATCTGAGTTACCCCTAGGTAGAGGTATAGAGTCTCCTTCGTTTC